TAATTTGTTGTATGTAATTTATGTAAAATATTATTACTTGATGTGCAACTGTTCTATCTTGAAGGGGTTTTCAGTGTGTGCTTCCATCTCTATTAAAAGACCGATTTTTGTATTCATCTGTTATTTCATTGTTAAAGTTTTTCTTATTATTATGCATTTTATTCATTGTTAAAGGATATTTTTATATCTCCTTGATTATTTAATGAGTTTCTTTATTAAAGGTTTTTTTTATGTCTGTGTGGCGTGTGTTTTCAGAGGCGATAGAAAATTAACACACTTCTTAATCAGATTGTGAACTTAAAGTTATTTTGGGTTTAAATAAAAATTAATTATAGTATATAGTTTGAAGTGTAAGCAATGAAACAGGTTTTACTCTTTAAACCCATAATTGTTTGCGCGTTCATGATATCCTAATAATTATCACCATACCTTATAAAATTTATAAAAGGCGGATAGTAACATGGTTTAGATTACTTTCCAGCCAAAGAAACATGTGTTATCGGTCGCCATCACCTATGATGGGCAAATCTGAATTTTCGGCCTGACGCTGGCAGCATCCGCTCAGGTTAGATAAGGAGTTAGGATAAAATGCAAGTCACTAGTTGATCTTCACAAAATACAACCCATAGTTGGCCAACTAAACATCTTCAACAGAGAATTTGCAACATGTAAAATACTTACATTTCTTGCCAATTGTTTTTCAGGGTTCCCAGTTTAAATGAACACGCTTACTGAAGTAACACTTCAATATTTTTTGTTTTGAAAGTATGCAAGACGTGGATTCGTGCAATTAATTTACTTTTTTGCAACGAATATAGCACTTGAAGTCCAGAAATAATTATCTTTCCCTTTGGCTAATTGGATAATGATCAGGCATGCCCTAGTTCTTAATTCTCAGTGAACACAGGTCTTGAATATAATGTATTTTTCATGCCCAAAATCGACTTTATTCTTTTTGGTACCCAAAACCATTTTGCCCCTTTAAGACGGGGTTGTAACGATCACTGATTGTGGCCTGTGCTAAATATAAATTCTGCGCCCCCCCCTTAGGGGGTAAGTGATCTGTGGAGGTTCACTGTTCGCACTACCATTGGTACAGCCATGCTTTAAGATTTATAAAATCTTTGGTGATTTAGACGGATATCTGAGCTATTATTTTTAAAATTAAAACTTTTTCTAACTGTTAGATATGTTATATTTTAGGCTAATCTTCAGCTGTGCATAACTCTAGACCTTTTACTGCAGTATTGTGAAACCTGTAACTTGTAAGTGTTGCATTTTAGCAGTGTTTAACTTCGGTTTTGATACTGGGAATTTGATGTTACTTTTACTTTGTTTGAGTAACGGTAACATAAGCTAAACTTCTTGCAAGCCTGGTTTTAATTCACGTTTGAGTTATCTTTTTCTTAAAACAGACATAGTTTTGTTTAACGTTTTTAAATTTTACTTAACAATACCTTGGGGTGTTACTTATATAAGTTTAGTGTTTCATTTCACTTGTACGGTCGGACACATCGAATTTATATTTCAAATAAAGTATTCATCTCACTGTTATTAGTTCGAGACACATCACTAAACATTTGCCTGTTTTGTAGTCGTGAAACTATCAATGTTGAATCTTCCTCCAAGAAGATCCCAGTTGGAAACTGGTGAGGTTATTATACTCCACAGTCTGGTATTCCCTGTACCTCCAGTTAGCAGGCCTAACTGACTGCTCTGTTGGAAAACCATTTTACCACACTTTAAATGGAAAAAAAATAAAGTTTAAAATTACTGATAATTAATACAGTCACGTATACATGCATTGAAGCATGCAGTTACAAATATTAATTTATGCAAAATAAGAGCTAAATGATTTTTGTAGGAACGTTTACAAGAATTTTTGTAGCTTTAAAATTTAAATGCCTTTTGTATGCAAGTTTGATAAATTTACTAATTTTAGTGACACAAGAAACAACGTGGTTAGTAAAATTCAATTTCTATTACCTTTTTTTTTTACTTACAAGCATACATTTTCTACATCAAGATAGCCTATTATGGTAACACTAAACACTGTTAGGCAAAGATAAGAGATGATCAGTCTGGTTTTTGACAACAGCTATTAATTTTAAAATTATCAATGCAGTTTTCTTAATAATCATTAAAATCAACTTTGTCTTGAATCTTATTTCCAAACTCAGACAACATATGTCTCAATGCTGAACAATTAATGCAGCTACCGGAGAGCACAGCTCCCATTTGTAGAAAACCTTTGCTTTTTCTTGTGTAAATATTTTTCAAAATACCAGATATGCAGGGATTTATTCTTTATTATTCCTTAAATAGAAATGTTTCCAGTTACAAACAAGGTTAAAGTTTTCAAACATTTATGCAAATATATTTTTATCTAAAATGTTAATTCCTCATGAATAAATTTACCTGTTTAAATATTTTTCTGAACCATAAGTATTTAGCAAGATTTATATTTTAGGATTAAACTTTTATAAATACATACTAGAGTGACACACTGACTAAACTACTCAGTAGGATTTTGACTCAAGTTTAAGAAAGCCAGAAACTAACTATAAAATTGATACATTGTAAAATGTATGATGAATATCATGGGCAGGATCTGGAACCAAAATATTGTAAATGTGTGTGTGTGTGTGCAGGGGGGTGAATTATTGTGAATGTAGTGTGTATATCTCAAAAAAAAAGAGAGGGAATATGTCCCCTCCAGTTCTACTTATGATGAATATTAACATTTGCAATCAGATGTATTTTTGAATAATAGGAATATTCATCTTTATATTATTTTCTTGGTAACAGTGTGATTAAAAGATAATATATATGACTGTACTTCCCTGTACTACCAGTGTTTCCCAAAGGATGTGCAACAGTACAGTAGTGTGTGTGTGTGTGTCACAAGTGAGCTGGTGTAAAAAGTTCAATTATCCTACATCCATATAAAGAAAAATAAACTTAATAAAATACATTGTAATGACCAAGTGAAAATACAATCACAATAATTTTAGTTACCCTTGTTATGTTCATTAAAATAGAACCACTCACACAAAAAACCTGAACAGAGGACAAGGGTAACTAGTAAAATTAAAATAGAACCACTCACACAAAAAACCTTTTACTAGTTACCCTTGTTCTCTGTTCAGGTTTTTTGTGTGAGTGGTTCTATTTTAATTTTACTAGTCACCCTTGTCCTCTGTTCAGGTTTTTTGTGTGAGTGGTTCTATTTTAATTTTACTAGAAGAACTGCAATTAGCAGCGTGCTACATTGTTTCAGTATTTTCATGTGCCTTGAGGGAGTGAAATATTGCCTTAAACAAAACAAATATTTTATAAAGGTACAGAAAGATTAAATCTCACTAAACACTCAGTCATAATCATTTCAAAAGCATTAATTTTTCACAGTTAAAGTTTTTCTCAGACTCCTTAAAATAGAAGTAACAAGCCCAACAACTTCACAAAATACATACTGGAGTACTGTGTAAAAATCCTTTCCACAATATTTTATTACATTAGAATTCATGAACTACTAAACACAGGTGGTGACAATTATTCATGCTAACGTTCTTTTCCTTTAAACAACAACAACAAAAAAATCATGATACCTTTACGCACTCACATCTCTGGCAACAAGACTTAAAAGTCTATCAGGATATTTTGTGTTTGTTCAAACATTTTCAAAACAAAACAAAATATAAACAATTTTGACAAAAAAATTTACAAACTGCATAAAGTAATTTAATTATCTCCCAATAATAATTAAATTATTACCTGATTAAAAAAAAAAATTCTCAAATTTCAATTACCTTTCCAAAAGTGGCATTAATCAATTCATCCCACTTTTCATCTAACACCAAACAAATACTTCGCCTAACAGTACAAGAAAAACCTATCTCTCCGCTTGTAAAGTTAGACACCTCTTTTCCATCTATCTCTTTATAGCACAAGAAAACACGT